GYGTACACGAGATGCACCGGTACGGTTTTTATTACGGCGACGAAGATGCCATCACCTTTGACTGGTCCTTTCTGAAGGACCAGCGCGWGGCCTATGTGAGAAGGCTCAATGGCATATACGAGCGGAACCTCAAAAATTCCGGCGTGAAACGGTTTCTGGGCACTGCAAGCCTGGCCAAGGAACCCAACACGGTCCATATAGAGGTGGTKGAAGAAGTCAAGAACTGGACCAAGGAAAAGGCTCTCAACATCACCAAGATCAAGACCACTAAGGTGGTGACCGCCAAGCACATYCTGATTGCCACTGGCGGGTCTCCGGTGCTACCTGTTAGCGAAGGCAACGGTATCAACGAACACTGCATCACGAGCGAAGGCTTTTTCGAACTGGAGGAGCAGCCCCTCACTGCTGTCGTGGTCGGTGCCGGGTATATCGCTGTTGAGCTAGCCGGCATCCTTCAGTCGCTTGGGACGGACACCAAGCTGGTCTTGAGAAAGGAGTGCGCCCTCCGAACATTTGATCCGATCCTAAGGGATACACTKGATGAGGAAATGACCAAACAGGGCATCGAAATCTACCGCAATACGGGCGGTCTTCAGAGTGTGGAGGAAGTCGTCAACGAGCAYGAGGACCTCACGAAGACTGTCACCCTCAAGGATGGAAGGGTCCTAGAAAACGTCGACGTTGTAATCGTCGCCACTGGGCGGGCCCCCCTGGTACAGTCCCTCAACCTCGGAAACCGGGGTGTGGCTCAGCGTCCAAGCGGGCACATCCTCGTGGACGAACGCACATCAGAAACATCCGCGACTGGAGTTTTCGCCGTCGGCGATGTCGTAGGTCCAATCGAGCTGACCCCAGTGGCGATTGCCACTGGTCGGCGGCTAGCCGACCGCTTGTTTGGGCCGCACGAAACACACGGCCACAAGCACAATCTCCAGCCGACCCATACCAGTGTGTCCAGCGACAACGTTCCGACGGTCGTTTTTTCCCATCCACCGATCGCAACGATCGGATTGACCGAGCCTGAGGCCATCAAGATACATGGCAAAGGCAACATCAAGGTCTACCAATCCAAATTTGCCAATATGCACTACGGGATATGGAATGCGGAAGAAACTGAGAAGGAGCAGCAAGCGAAGCCCATGCCCTACTCGTCGCTGGATGAACCTAGTGCGAAAACCGTCCCCTCTATCGACGACAAACCCAAGACAGCCATGAAACTAATTTGCTGTGGTCCCACTGAGCGAGTTGTCGGATTGCATGTCATTGGGATGGGTGCCGACGAGCTGCTGCAGGGATTCGCAGTGGCCATCAAGATGGGAGCGACCAAGGCCGACTTTGACAACTGCATGGCGATTCACCCCACAGCGGCCGAGGAGCTAGTCACGCTTCATCCCTGGGGGCTCAAGGAARGTGACAAGGGCAGCGAAACGTAGCGAAGCATWATGYGGCGCATCGCATCGCTTCACATTGAAAATTTTARACTGGTGTAGAACAGTTCCGAGGACCTATTTTAGGCAAAAACCTCCTTGAGAACAGATAGGGTCTTGCCACCCAAGAAAACGACGATGTTGAATTTCTTGAACATATCTTCCACCATTTATACTCWGGCTTTTGCTTTGCGTCGTCATGGCTCTTCACTGATTGTTGGTTTTTGTGTTGTAACTACGGGCATAAACTGTAAAATCTGGGGATACCGAGTGCTGGAGTTTTTTTTTCATTCGTTTGGCGGATCGAACGCAAAAGAAAGCAACTACTAGTATTTCGATTCTAATGTTGCTTTTGGTTTCGCCAGTACGAGTCAATTAAGTCGTTGCGTAGAACATGCGTCCCAACTTTGAACATACAAGCGCAAAACTTTTTTACCCTTATTAATATGGTTCATCCACGACGGAACAACCCAATTTGGAACCGACTGCAACCCCGAACTTTGAAAAAAAGAAACTATCAATCAATCAACTGATCAACCCAAGTATACCCCTGTACTCCTGTCATCAGGTTGAGCTACAGCATAACAAARGACTCTACAATACAGTAGTGTAAGGATTATTTATCAACTTGGAAATGCAGTTTGTTTTGCCATCGTTATTTTCACTTTAGTTCACAGTTTCCGTTGATGATCAT